ATAGATAGATAGATAGATAGATAGATAGATAGATAGATAGATAGATAGATAGATAGATAGATAGATAGATGGAAGCTGTGGCCTTTGGCCAGTTTGCTTTAGCTAGCATTTAGACTAAAAACACAAAGCCAGAAGGCAACAAATGTATATGTACGACAAAAAACAAAAAAACAAATGATGTGAATGAAAGAAAGAAAGAAAGAAAGAAAGAAAATGGTGCATTCCTTAGTTTTATAAATTGAATGCATATGCTGCCTGGAGGGAGCCTAGTCTGCTGAAAAAATCAAGTTTAAACATAAACAATCTGTCAGATTTGTTAAGTATTACATTATTGTCAATTTAGATAGGTGTGGTTTTGCTCAGTTTTGGTCACAAAAAAAGGAGGAAGTTACATTTTAAAGTGTGCATTGTTTCTGGAGTCGTAATAATCATCACAACAACATATAATGCATGGGACATGGTGTTTTACACATTTACCCACTTTTCCACGGGAATTGTGTGATTACTCTTAAATGTTTTAAAAAGCCATTTCAGTCTGTTTTAAATATGCAAGAAGTTGAGTGAATTTTACTGTTGGTAACACTAAACAAAGACTGATGGACAGGTAGGGACTAAAACTGCAATTAATGGTGTTTAATTTCTTTCTATCTTTATGAACAACTTCACTTGCTAGAATGAAGAAAACAATCTCATACAAATATTATTATTAATCATTGTTGATGTGTGTTTTTGGAGTCACGGACACAATGTATTTCCATCCAACAACGACACCAGGCTTGACTATGCTGGTATTTGCTAAGATGCACATGTATTTTAGCTTCTCGTGACAGAAAGAAAAGGAAAAAGTTGTTTGGGCTCATGTAATCTGTTTTTTTTCCTTTGGTTCTCACATAGTTGGCATAATTTTGCATGGCATTTTGTTGTCACTAAACAAGGTTTAGTAGTGTCCACTTATAACAACACATACTCTGAGATGATCTGATGTGATACTTCCCTTGGCCTCATTTGCACTCTGTTGTGCAGCCTGTGGGACGTCTTGTGTACAAAAAAACACCACCGCTGCCCTCTTGTGGTAAAAGCTGGGACCAAGAATTTAAAACAAGGAGGATTGTTCGACACTAAAAAAAAATAAGAAGCCGACTTGTGCAACAAATACAGTGTCAAATGTTACATTTAATGTAATCTGGCCAAAAGAAATGCGCTTGACCTATATACAATCAGTTTATACTGCACACATTTATTTATTTATTTATTTTATTTTTATTATTTTTTTAAAAAAAACCTTGATTCCTTGATTTGATATATTTCAGTTACATTTTACTCAAAACTATTCATGTTTATTAAGGGTGAAGAATCATTATGCATATGAAATAAAAATAAACCTGAAAAAACAAAGTTCCCAGCTGAACCCCTCAGAATCCTCGATTTATTATTATTATTAATATTGTTTTGTACAATAACTTTAGTGTTTGTAATTAATGTGTGAAAATCTTTACCTTAGTATTACTAAAAAGCAGAGCTACACGCTTAAAGTACAACTACATGAGAAAGTAGTTTCAGTTCATGTTCATTATTGAATGATTTTATTTAATTCATGTTATTTTTCCAGCATTTTAATCTGTGTCACAATATAAGGTTAAAATCAGAATCAGAATAATCTTTAATAATCCCTAAGGAAATTATGTGGGTTACAGTTGTTCCAAGACAGTAACAGTAACAGACTGAACTAATTAAAAAATACAATACATTAAAAAGTTTAAAAAATATAAGAAATAGCTCTAATATATACAAATGGCTCAATTATAAATATCCAAAATATTACAGAGGTGAAATATATATCGTTTAGTTACTGGTGACTTTTTTCTTTCTTAAATATTTTGAGAAATTACAAACCTACAAAACAAAGTTATGCAAGTCATGTCAGGGCCAAAGGTAAATGCTCCCCCTGACCCACTTCTTCATGGCTACAAGCTTCTGAAGCTAACTCAATGCAACACATCTCACATTGTGTAATGTAGTATTTAGACTCCTTGACAGATTTTGTGATGCTATCCCAGACTACTTGCCCTTGTAAATCTGCATAACACAAGGGAAAAACAACTCTTAATAGGAAAGAATTGCAAACATATATTTGAGCTTTAGTGTGACCTTCAGGCATCCACAGATTTGGAATGAAAAGCACTGAAAAAAAAAATCAGCATCCCTCTCTGTGTCTGTAAAGAGCACAGGACAACAACTGCTACTAAAATATGTTCAATCCTAAAACCCTTTATGACTGAAGGTTTTCAGAATTCTCATTTCCAATTTAAAATTTAAAACATGTTCCAGTTCATGAGTGTTATTCTGCATGTGCCACTATCTAGATGTGCTGTATCAGTGTCACTAAAATTGGGATACATGCCGGAGATTATATTTGCTCTTGAAGTAACCTATGATGCTAGGCCCTTACCCATAAGCTATTGTTTTTTGTGGAATTCCCATTTCACAAATGATTATTTTATGTCATCGTGACTGCAACTAAATTTCAACAGATTTGTTAATAAAATGAAACTGAAATAGAACTGATTCGTATTATGTGATTTATAATGTTGTAACCAGTGTATATTTTTATTAGCCTGTTACTTTATCGTCTTGGGCTTCACAGAGGCTGCCTTATTGTTACAGGACAGATATGTCTCTGTGTTTATGTTGGCAGGTGTCTACACATTCAAATTATTAAAACTCAATGAGTTTTCAACAACTTTTAAACATTGTCGTTTGTTTTTTTATTTCTGATAAAACAGTACAGCTATTTATGTAAAAGCAGAAAATTTATAAAATCGCATCCCCGAATTAGAGCCTGGTTGATTTCTTAGCACGCCAATGTTATCGACTGATGTTAGATTATTTACCAGTGGGTATGGGTATCGGCATTTATAACAGCCGATAAATGGAAATTTAAAAAAGAGATAGGAGAGACCCTTCAACCATGTTATGAGAGTCGATTGTTTTATACTTTGACCGCCAGAGGGCACTATGCAATTTCCCTTTTGACAGCAGGTGTTTCTGAACCAAGGAGTTAGGCAGAGTAAGCAGTAACTAAATAACTACTCATTACAAATGTTAGAGGCATCTGTTCATGGTTCATGAGTCTGAAAGAAACAAGCATTGGATTTCGAAATCAGTAAATATCGATATGTACTGGCAGTCTTTTCTTCTCTTCTCACTCCTCCTATGACCTGCTTACTGTGTGGTTTACAGCGCCCCCGTTTGGTTAGATCTACCCTCTCTCCTAGCACCGCCCTTCTTAAAATTAGCCGTGACCGAGCGTCCCCGCGTACCTCCGAAGTGCCACGGATCTTCAGGGTGGAAGAGCCAACAGGTCTCGAATCAGACATTTGAAAATTAGTTTAATGTCACTAACTAATTTATTATTAACATATTCTCATTACCTGTTGTTTGTTTAATAATGTTTTTAATTATTTTCTATTTGCGGGCTTTTATAGTGAGGTAGCTTTTAGCTAACTTTTCCTGCGACGTGTGAACTTGTTAACTTTCCTCCCCCAGCTAATTAGCAGACATTGATAACTTATTCAACTTTATGACTTCACTCAGTTGTGTTCAATTAATAGTCCGTTAGCGAGTTAAGTATAACAACGGCAAACGTACAGCCTGCTCTTAGGTGGCAAATACTGATTAAGAGCAGCTCTCTGTCCTGTTTTCTTAGTGCGGGTAGCTAGCTGCGTGAGCTAGCATTTTGCAGATATGCTTACTGCGGTGCGTTGTGTGCTGTCCAAGCTGGTTTCTCCACTGTGGAGGACAGTCGAAGTAGAAGGAGACATTTTCTCCCATGAATCAGGTAAGTGCAATATTACTTTAAACCACGTCAAGGTAAAAATTTGGTCAGCTTAATCGTGTGTATTGCTGATAGCAGAATACTAACACATTAGATTAGTCAAGTTTGGTTTGCATTTTTTTCTTGACCAGGTAGGGAAGACATTCGCCACCTGAGGGGCCAGGTGATAACCCAGCTGTGTCTTGACTATGGCATGATCGAAGATGCCATCTACTTCACTAGTGGCGAGGTCTTGGGTGGCGTGCCACTGAAAGAAGGAGACCTGGTCAACTGTATAGCAGTAAGAGATGGTTCCGAAGGGGGATGGAAAGCTTTAAGGGTGAGGAGCCTGTGCTTCATATGATTAACAGCTTAAATTTCTGTTTATTTCATAGTGTGAAGTTGTTTCTATTGAGAACTTGTTGTTCCCTCCAATAAGGCATTCACAGTGAGCTCTGTTGAACCATGTCTTTTAGGTGGAGAAGAGTGCAGACGCTTGGGAGGATGGAGGAAAAACCTCCTTAGAAGCTGACATTATGCAGCTGCGGCCTCTTGTTGGCATGGTCACATCATTTGATGGAGATGGTGGCTACATAAATCAAACCACATACTTCCCATGCCACAGTCTTTGGGAAGGTACCTCCCACTTCACGTTACATGCTAAAAGCTTCTTCCACCCGTGATGCTTTGCTACACCCATTCTTGGTCATTCAGCCCCATCCAGTATTTTGGACTGATTTAACCAAGCAAGATCTTTAAAGATCATGCTTTCAATCTGCTGAAGGTTTATGTTTCCTGTTTTTTAGGCATCTTTTGAGTGTTTTCTGTCTTCTCACAGGTTACGAGCCAATGAAAGGAGACTGGGTCCAAGCAAAATATTTTATTAATCCTAACCAGTGGACCACCCAGGCTCATTCTGTGGTCCCTTTACGCTATTGCCGCCTAGACCAAGTAATTGTATCATTGTTTATTTTTTTTAAATGCAATACATGCTTATTTTATTGGAGTCCATTTAGTTGTACTTTACTTTTCTGCTCAATTATTTGCAATGTTAAAACTTTGTAAAAACCCCCCCATTTGTCATTTTCACCTCCTTTCTGTAGGTGCGTGTGACCAGTATCTATGGTCGTAGTGGAGTGGTGGATGACAGTGTTTTCTTCAGCTTGGACTCTCTCCTGCTCCCTGCCAATTACGAGCCTTTAGTAGGACATTTGGTTAACCTGGTAATGGTGGAGAGCAGTCAGTCACTCTATAGCTGGAGGGCTCTTTGCATGGCACCCTTCTCTCAGAGGTATCAGCTACAGTTTTTAAGCTTGAAGTGATGACTGTATATTTTGTGGGTTTGCTTTTTACAGTTTCTGCTTGAAAAATAACTTCATTGAGCAATCATATCAGCTAGCGATCCAGCAGCGTTATTCCCATGACCCACCGGGCAGTGTCCGGGAAACCAAAGTCTTTGGGTTCCAGGGGGAGTATGGTTGCAAAGCTGAAACTTAAAGGAATTGACGGAAGGGCACCACCAGGAGTGGAGCATGCGGCTTAATTTGACTCAACATGGGAAACCTCACCCGGCCCGGACACGGAAAGGATTGATAGATAGTTAATCATAATGAGTGTATTTTTTATTCTTATTGCAGTGCAAATCTTTCTGCTACACCGCTCAGAGAGGCTGAGCTGAAGAGCATCTTAGAAGATAAAGGAGGGCTGAATGTAACAGACTATGGACAGTTTGGGGAACTGATGACTGGGGAGACACGAGAGCTGGTGCTCTGGATACAGTAAGTTAATCAGGGAAGAAATAAAATATTAACATTGTGAATGTAAATAAAAGCACTCAAAATGAAATCTCTTTAAAATTTATGTACATCTTATTAAAAGCACTGATTTAATTCTGCTTTTGTACCTGTCAAAAGTGAAAGTGCAGCTACTTTGCTCTTACTTTTGTTTGATAAATGTCATTGAGGGTAAAAACATTGTAATACTTTTTCCACGTGTTCATATGAGCATAAATTAAATGAAACTAATTTTCCAGAGGCAACCTAAATGGGAACCACAGCAGACAGAGCAAGCATGTTGGCACTATTTATAAGGGCACATAACTTGAAAACAAAACAAATGATGTAGTCTCTCTGAGATAGAGGTCAGCATGGATCAGCACAAAATGCCCCTGTGGACATCCTTTTAGAAGGGGAAAGGAGTGCTTAATCACAGCAAATTGTGCTACTGCATCACAAACTTTCGGAGAACTGTGGACTATATATTATTGGTAATTGGTAGGATTGCGTTTTAGTGTCTTCATCTTTCTCTTAACAGAAATAAAGGTACAGAGACCCACAAGTTGACACACTGCGACTTTGCTGGCTGGGACTCAGAAGAACAGTTCACTCTGGTTAGTGTTAAAGGATTGACATCACTGAGGCAAAAAGGGCAGCAGCTGCAAGAAAACCCTGTCAAGTCTTCAGAAATCCAAGTAAAAGATGGAGACAAAGATAATGGCGAGGCGCAGAAGGAGGCGGTCCATTCCCCTGGTCTAAGAAGACAGGAAAGCAAGTTGGATATTTTACCTGGAGAGAGACTGCCAGTTGTTGTAGCCTGCGAGGCAAAGTAAGTTTTGTTTTTATTCCTCATATCGAAACAATGGTAAAAATAATACAATCACTAATATGGATAATGTATGAGAAAGAAGAACTTTGCTTAATCTCACTTTGGATTTACTGGTTAACAATTTATTAGAGTTTCACTGTTGGAGGTGTCGTGTGTCTCTATTGGGCTTTTGTTGTTATGATTTTTATGTACAGTTGAATTTTGTTTGGGAAATGTCTCAAGGAGCCTGGGAACTTGTGCTGAGCTGCTACTACTGCACTTCTCTTCTTTCACCATCGGGAGGCGCCTGGAGGTCACCGTGCGCAGTGAATGTGAAGATGTGCTTCGGCCCTCTGTGCCCTACGCTCCTACTGATAATCGCCCAGTGGCAGTGAAATCTTCTCATGTGATCACAGTAGCTGCTCCGAAAATGACACCAAGGTATTGAAAGTGCTGATTCCAATGATTGTGATCATGTGGGGGGTTATTGGTGGGCATAATTATTCCCCCCCCCCCAAATTAAGTTGCACAACCAACCCTTGCTACTTGCTGTGTAAGGCTGACTGTCACTCTTCTAGGCTTGCTAATCGACGGTTGCCACAATTTCTACCCAACTACCCTGTGCCTCAAGCTCTAAGAGACTGTGTGGAAGCCCAGAGTGATGTCCTGGTTGTTGAGCCCTGCCTTGGAGAGGTGAGCTTGCCTGTGGTCAAGTTAATCTGGTCCTGAAAAATAATGACAAAAACATTTTATTTTTACATGATTGGGAGGTGTTGTTTATGGTTGGCTGACAATAATTTCCCTTTCTGAATCAGTAAAATAACAAACTGTGGATCTTGAGTATGGAATTAACTTTTAAGCCTTTCTGTAAGCAATGTGATGTAAAATGTTAGGAACTGCCTCAGGTGGCTGGTGTCTTGTGCCCTATTGAAAATAGAAAATAATAAGTTATTGCATTTTGCTCAGGTGCTGTCCCCGTCAAACATGCAGTCACGTTTCTCAGTCCTTCTGTGGCTGGAAGAGTTGAACGCAGAAAGGGAACTGAAAGAATTCTCTATCAGCGGAGCGCTTCTCAGGAAAGGGGCTGTCTACCTGCACCTCGAGGTCCCCGGTTTGGCCGAAGGCAGACCTAATCTCTATATAGGTGAGGTGGCCTTAAGCACCTTTCATCATTATTGTTGCTTTATTGTTACTGTTCAACAAAAGAAGAAGGTTGACAAGCTTCCTTTTCAGGGGACAGAATAATACTAAAGAAGCCACAAAGTGATGGCGTGGTAATGGAGTACATTAGCTACGTCACAGAGGTATGGAGATATTTCTTATTGTAAAGCATATTTTCAAAAAATACTTAATTTTATGTTAGTCTAATGCTCGGTTGTTACACAGATCAATGATGAGGATGTGAGTTTGCGAGTGAACTCAGACTTTCAGCGCAGCTACCTCGGAGAGCCACTAGATGTTGAGTTCTCTTACAACAGGTGAGAAAATGAGTAGAATCCTAATATCATAATTAATTTATTCACATTTCAAATTTGTCTTTCACCTGAAAACAGTGTTTCATAGTTGCTGTGCCTCAGGGTTTTTTGTTTACCTTTTAATATTTTTGATGTTTGTTTATTCAGATTGACGATGAGGCGGTGTCACAGTGCACTTGAACAGACAAAACACTTCGGGGAAAGTAAGTTCAATCTAAATTACTTTGAGTCTACATTCCAGACTTGTTTTCTTTTAAATAATTTTATATAAAAATATATTTTGATGTAATAAAATTATATTTTGTGTAATATGTATCAAAAAGCAGAAAAAGGCTAAACAGAGGAAAAACAAGAGTAACTGCTTGAAAACTCATCTTTAGTATGACACACATTGTCAGGTAGGCACTAGAGGGTGCTGTTTGTGTTTGACTTATTGTCTTGACACAGGATGTACTGCAGCAACAGCTTGCTCAGATGCCTTCAAACATTTTGTAAAAAGAAACACAAAGCTTGTTTTATTTCTTCATAGCTACATATTGAATACAGAATACCCAAGCATTTATGACTAACTTTAAAAGCAGTTTTTAAAATTGTCTGGCAGTTCTCTTCCCCTCCAGAGTGACACCTCGGACCCCTCGGTGGACTGGAAAATGGATGGATAAACTAGATGAAGACAAAACGGTAGGGCACAATATGGGGGGGTGAAAGTAAGACATTACTTGATTAAATTTAAAGCTTTTAATCAAATGTAAATATGTTTAAAAAACAGGCACCAGTCACTGAAAATGGAAAAGTGTCAGGCATTACCATTGACATGAAGTCAAAAGGCACACAGACTAAAGGTACAGATATTTTCAGTATCATATTGATTTTGTCTGTGTTTTGACTGATAACGTCACCAGCATCATCATTAACAAATGTGTAATTGTATCTAGATTGTGCACCAACATCTAAACCCATCCCCACCAAAGGGCACTTCTTTAACCCAGACCTGAACCCCCCTCAGAAGGAGGCAGTGAAGAGGATCCTAGCAGGGGAGTGTCGGCCCCTTCCGTACGTGCTCTTTGGACCTCCAGGCACTGGAAAGACGATCACCATTATAGAGGCCATACTCCAGGTGCACATACTCAATGCAATATAGTCACATGAATACATAGAAAAATATAATTTTGTGAGTGCCACTCTTATTCACACTGTGGCTGTGCTCATTTTTACATTTTGTCCATTGGTATTTAGGTTTAAGTCTGGATTGTCAATAGATAGAATTGTTGTTACTCTGCCTGGTGGGTGAGCAGGCAGCGTGGACGCCCAAGTTTGTGAATTCGATAACTCAATAAATTGACATAGCAGTTTCAAATTGATACCATAGGTGTATCTACTTAAAATCTTGATGAATTTGAATGTCAGTGACCATGGCCTCAAGGTTGGAGGTCAGAGGTCAAGTTTTCTGAAAATCTTGTGAATGCAGTAACATGTGAGAACAAGGCAACGTAGGTTTTTTTAAATTTGTACCCTAGGTGCATCTACTAGGAGGCTCAGGGGTGCCACTGCCGCTGCCAGTATTTATTTATTTTTCTTCACTAATTAATTAATTTATTTTTATGACAAAGTGAATAAAAAATCCTTAGCATTCAATCTTTTTTTTTAGACTCTCATTTGCAAATGATGGCTGTTTGATTCCCATTGCTTGTTTGAGGTTTAATCTTTTCCACATCCAGGTTTACTACTTTATGCCCAGTAGTCGGGTACTTGTATGTACCCCCTCCAACAGTGCTGCTGACCTCATCTGCATCCGCCTGCATAACAGTGGCTTCCTGCATGCTGCGAGTTTGGCCCGTGTCAATGCATCCTGTAGGCAGAATGAGGTATTTAATATTATTTAATGTAGTATTTAGGCTAATGTGTTTGACTATTTCAGATTTAGATTTTTTTATTTTTTATTTTCTCTCCACTCCTCCCCGTAGTCTATCCCAGAAGTGCTGAGAGTGTACTCCAGGGCAGGAGAGGACATTCGTCAAGCTGCTTTCCACAGGATTGTGGTCAGCACCTGCTCCAGTGCTGGCATGTTCCATAATATAGGCCTACCGTAAGACATGGGTTATAGTAGAGAGAGGTTAATCAGTTTTTCTCCCACTTTAGTCCTTGTTTACTAACCCTTTAATAATCTTCAGAGTTGGACACTTTACTCATCTGTTTCTGGATGAAGCCGGTCAAGCCACTGAGCCAGAGTCCCTGATCCCAATGAGCGTTGTGTCTGAGAGAGATGGACAGGTTAGCACAAATACACATGTACTGATTTCATTAAGACCTTAGTGGGTTTTTACATATGAGCTCTGGGAGAATCGGGTTCAGATGTTGTCTGTTTCACGTATGTAGCCCCGCGAGTGTCTTCTTACTACTGGAAATACTGTGTGGATTAAACAATGGACCTGCTTGACTTGAGTGTTGTCAGACACTAGAAAATCTCAGGGTTGGGGTGAATTTGATGACTGGTTAAACTAATTTTCCACATATTTTTGTGTACTTACTTTACTTTTTGGTCATGACTGAACTGAGCTTTATTAACAATGACTCTTTTTGTTGTTGTTTTTTTTTAAAAAAAAAAAATACCTTTCCTTATTTAGATAGTTTTAGCTGGAGACCCCTGCCAGTTGGGTCCACTTGTGAAGTCTAAGATAGCCAGTGCCTTTGGCTTTGGGGTGTCTTTGTTGGAGAGGCTGATGGCCAACCCTCTGTACTCCAGACAGGACTGGGGCTACAATCCTAAGCTGGTAAGTGTTCTACATAAAGGTTTTTATGCTGTTGAGCATTTTTTAGTTGTTTTTTTGCAGAAATGCATCATATTACAATGTGTTAAGATACAGTGCAGATCTAATGATAAATGAACTTGACTGGAATGTGTCAGTATATTTTCAGTCTACATGATAATCACAGAAGTGCTGTTTCATTACAACAACAGGTAACTAAGCTGGTCTACAACTATCGTTCTCATGAGGCCTTGCTCACACTGCCTTCAAAGCTCTTCTATCAGGGAGAACTGTGCTGTAAAGGACCCAGGTCTATTGTGGACTCCCTGTGCCAGTGGAAAAATCTGCCCAAAAAACGTTTCCCACTTCTTTTTCATGGAGTCAGGGTAATGAAAATATAGAATATGGTTTCCTTCATCAAGTAATAGGTTCCTTTACTGAGGAATGTTATATGACACTTTGTTGGGATTGCTAGCTTGCATTTTTATTTTGTTGCATGTTTTTTTTCCTCCCTTCTTTCTCTAGGGCACAGAAATGAGAGAAGGTAACAACCCATCATGGTTTAACCCAGTAGAAGCTGTACAGGTCATGCTATACTGCTGTCAACTGGCAAAGAAGCTCTACAATCCTGTCCATGCTTCTGACATTGGCGTTATTGCCCCCTACAAAAAACAAGTATGAGAAAAAACCCAACAATTTGCACAATTCAAACTGTTAGTCCTAATGGCTTTTCAACTTAAAACTGGCCAACTGCACTCCCGTAGACCCTAAACTCTTCTGGCTTTCCTCACCAGTGTGAGAAGATTCGTGTCCTGCTGGGGAAGGTGGGCCTGTCGGACATCAAAGTGGGCTCTGTGGAGGAGTTCCAAGGACAAGAGTTTCTGGTCATCATTTTGTCTACGGTAGGCAAAAACATGCTTTGGATAATTACAGGTAGAAATATTGGACAGCTGTTTGATTCTTTTTATTTTATTTTTTAACATCTGTGTTATCAAATATCAAAATATGTGCAGCATTTTGATATTAATTTTGATATAATTTTATATAAATTATAGCAAAATTATATAAACTTTGATATATTTTATATTTGATATATAATTATATCAAAGTTGAGTTTGACTTTGATATAATTACATTTCTTTGGGTTAATCCAAGTGGCAGACATGGGTGGGGTTTTTTTGTTTGTTTGGTGGTGTTTTTTTTTTTTTGTTTTTTTTTTAAATTGTCATTTGGATGGATCATCCTACCTTGTATTAATTGTTCAGACTGGTGATGATGCAACAGGGTACTAGCAAGGTGCAACTAATGAAGTGGCCACTGAATATGTATGTCCTTTAACCTCAAATTAAACCTCTACCATATAAAATTTCCACTATACTGAAGCCCTTGTTGATTTATTGAGTTTTTTAAATTTATTTTTTTAATGAATAAGCAGACATGCTGATTTTAGTTCAACCTTGTGCACAACCGTAAACCCGTAACATTTACATATTTTATGTTCACTGTCATGGCATTTAATCCACATAAATCTTCTATAATATAGGTGCGCTCTAGTGAGTCACTACAGAGTGATGATCTAAAGAGTACGCTTGGCTTTCTGGCCAACCCAAAACGCTTCAATGTGGCCATCACTCGACCCAAAGCTCTGCTTTTAATTGTTGGAAACCCCCACATTCTCATTAGGGTGAGTGACCTCTTAACTTTTTTTTTTTCTCTGTCATCATACTGGTTGTAATAAAATGCATTCACCCTATATGTTCTAAAATCATAATTCCTTTCCAGGACCTATGCTTCAGGGCTCTGCTTGAGTACTGCTTTATTAATGAGGCTTATCTGGGCTGCGACCCTCCTTCCTCTCTTCAAGATGTTCACACGTAAGTAAACAGGTTCATAATGGATATTCTGGACTATTGCAAGGCTACTAATAAAATATTATTTGTTAGTGCAGATGGTATTCTGATTTTTTTCATTATTATTATTATTATTATTATTATTATTATTATTATTATTATTATTATTGTGCAAAAATGTGAACCCCATCTCATTTTCCCACAGTGTTGCAGAGGAGCAAAGGAGCACATAAAAGGGACAAAAACAGGGGGTGTACTGCAGCACAGTCAACCTGGCAATCAAATTGTGTTTATATTTTTTTCCTCCTTCTCGTTTTCTCGGCTTGTCTCTGTGTACCTCTTAACGTAATTGCTTTAAAAAGAAAAATATCTTGTTTGCCTAAGAGCCAAATGCAGTCCCACTGGGATGAGAAATAAAGGTGATACTCATGATCACGGCCCAAGCATTCTTGTGTCCTACCATTAAGTTGATGTGCTTAACAGTGCATAAGATGGTTCTGATTTTTGGGTGAATTACCAAGAATTGAACCTTAATGGTCCCAGTGTGTTTATCTACCCAGTCTGCACAGTAATGGTTCCAGAGTTATTTGAATGGAATCGACCTTGCTTTTAAAGCAGAAAGAAAGTAATGTGGTGCCAGCTCTTTGATAAACAAGAGAAAATGGATACAACAAAACAAAGTTTTGGTATATTGAGGGCATTAACCTAAGCAGATGTCTGCGGATTTTATGGGCAAGTTGTCTGCATAAGTTGATATAACAGTGTCTGCCCATAAGACCTGGAGACTGGATGTGACAATTGAGTGCTATTGAGTCTAAGTCTGCACACTCACCGTCAGCCCTACTGGAGCCCAGTGGGTGGAGTAATGGGAAAAGAAAAGAGGAAAATGGCGGTTCAGTGTCTTTAAGTTAATGGGTCTATTAGGAGCAGGGAGGGGATAACGCTTATCTGAACTGTGAGAGAGCTCAGCTCAGACACAAAGTCCCTTTTCTTTTCTTCCAAAAGACACCCCCGTCTTTGATGTATGCCTCAGGTGTTTGGGTTTGTTTTTTTTTCCTCTGGTGTCCCACTTCTCCAATAATAGCTGTACCATAGAGTGAAGAATACCCATACACATTTATATTGTTTAAAATAATGTTGCTTTGTAGGTTCTTAAGTTATAGTCTGCCAGGTTTCTCACTTAGATTTTGAAGTTGTTTTGCTGGCACAGTTACTGTTAA